GAGAGGGGATGCCTGGCCACCGAGTTGGAATTTAGAAAACCCCGAAGTCCACCTGGTCCCAAAGGAGCCGCCCTCCCCACCAGGCCGTGGGATCCAGCTGTCCAGTGCCCAGGGGTTGGAATTCACCGCTGTGGCTCCCCCTTCCCTCCTCCCTCTCGTCCCGGCAGTTCCAGCTGAAAGGCGCTTAAGCCTCTGCAGGAAGCACCGCGAGTCTGGCGTCGGGAGTTGTCACCCGCCTCCCGGGGGCGTGGGAGCTGGGTACCAGGATGGGGGCTGCTGGGTCCCCGAGACTGGCTGGCCCGAGAGTGGGCGGTGCCTGTGGTGTGCTCCGCTGTGCCCACTGGTCGTCCCCATTGACTCCCTGAAAAGAGCGGGCGTCAGTCCCACTGGCCCCTAATTCTGAGCTGTCACAGTCCTTCAGACCCAGCTCCCCTCTTAAGGAAATACCCGGGTTGGGCTTTCTGGGTCACTCTGTGTTGACTGTCAGCAGAGAATGAGGAGCAGGTGGAGAGCCGAATGGGGGACAGATGGGAAACCGACCCAGGAACGGGTGTGGCACGTCGCTGGGAACCGGGGGTGCCTTGGGGCTCCCGGCCGAGTCCCTCGCACACACGCCTGAGTTGATGATGTCGCGCGGCCGGTGTCCTCTAGTTGCTGGTTCCTGGTGCCCTGCGCCCCGTGGCGAGGGCTTCAGGGAGCCAGAGCATGAGCCAGAGCTGCTGGCCGCCCAAGAGCTGGGTCTGAGCGGAGGGCGGAGCAGGCGGGGGACCTGCGCGCCACCTGGCGGGAGGTCTTGGTCGTCACTTCATTCCAAGCCGTGATCCCCACCCTGGCACAGCCTCATTTCAGGTCTTGAAGTCACAGTCACAGTTGGTTTCCAGAGCGCCAGCGTCCAGAAAGGGATCCTGAGCCACTGGACGCCTGCACTAGGGGCCTTAAGCACTCCATCCTGCTGGACGCCATGGCACACGCGTGTGATCCCAGCACGAGGCGGGGGCGCCCCATCTCCCACACTCATGCCCTCTCTTAGCCCCTGCAGTAAAGGGCTCCCCATGGGCTCTGGAGTCCTGATGTTGTCTGGTAAATTCCAAGGCAGGACAGCCAGGGGCAATTCCCAGTGGGCAGCAGAGTATGGTGTCAGCTGTTGGCTGATGGCCCTCACCAGGCCTGCAGCAATTTCTACAAGACTGAAGGTCCCCGAAAACCTCTGACCCCGGGAGGAGTGCCCCACTTAGGGTACAGCACCGTGTCATCCTGAGTCGGCTGTCACAACGGACACTGGTGACCTTGGGCTGGATGGGCCATGAGTGATGCCCAGGGGTTGGGCTCCGACCTCTGCAGGGTGGTGTGGGTGATGCTGTGTACTGGGCCACCTGGGCAGCGTGTCCCCCGGAGGCCAGGGGGGTCTGCACGTGAAGCTGCCCCTCTGCCGACTGCTGGGGAGGGACTCCGGGGTGGCAGAGGCACTGGGCGGCATCGGATCCCCGAATCTCTGAATCCGCTGCAGGCTGTAGTAGTGGGCACACGGTCCTAGGGACCAGGAAGTTCCTGCTGCAGCCAGGCTGGCAGACATGTCCTCGGACACCGGGGGCTCCTGGGATGGTGCCGTCCATCATAGGAGCACACCTGGACACTCCCTGCTGCTGTCCGGGACCAGGAGGCCCCAGGCGCCCGGGCTGCTGAGCTCTAGCAGGTGTACCCCTCTGGTGCTGTTCCAGGAGTCTGGGTTGGTGGCCCGTGGCCTGGAGGACCCTGTCCACCCAGCCACACAGGCTCTGGCTTCCTATCCTCTGAGGACACAGCCTTCATGGTCGAGGACAGTGACATGGTCACTGGAGTCCAGGTTTGGGCCTTCTGGAGGCCATGGTAGGGAGCCAGGACATCAGAGGGGAACAGTACTGACCAGAAGTGCAGGCGATGTCCGAGGGACTGGAAAATGAGGATGGGGTTCACAGGGACATCAGCAGGTGAGGCTTGTGGGGACGTGGGGGTCTCTGCCATCTCCTGCCTAGGCCCTGGTTGCTGGCTCTCCTTGGTGTCCCTGCCTCAAGCCCCGTGGGTGGGACAGGCTCCCTTTAGGGCGGGGGTGGGGGGGGTGGCTGGGGGGGTGAGACTTGGGCACAGGTAAAGGGCCTCCCAGGTCAAGACCCCTGGGGTTTGGCTTCCAGCTGGACACAGGGACCTCAGGAGCATGGGGTGGGGGCACGGCATGGTGTGGAGGCCCTGCGGGAGGCACCTGCAGCTGGTCACTGCCCTCCTGCCGGCTCCCCTGTGGACGGCCAGACCCTGCTCCCTTCAACACCTTGGCCTGGTGCTGGGGGCACCGGCTCCTCCAGGATTCCTGTGACCTCCTTCTCTGGGCGAGTCCCCATGGGTCTGGGGGGGTCTTCTGGCTGAACCGCCCACTCCACCCGTGAGAACACGAGTGGCCTCCACAGCTGCCCGGGTGCAGAGGTTGTGGCCGCGCTCCTGGAGTGGACTCCTGGGGCGGCAGGCCAGCTGGGCATGCAGGGTCTGGCCACAGTCCTGGGTACCACTGGCCCCGGCGGCAGCGCTGTCCCCAGCAGCAGCAGCAGCACTGAGCTTTGCCGCCCTGTGAAGGACCCCGACCAGGCGCCGACCCTGGGCGGCTGAACACACCCGGCAGGGGCTGAAAATCCTTAAACTCTTTATTCAAAAATACAAACGTGACCGCGTACAACATGGTAAGCTGCGCTGCACAGCAGATGAAGTCGTCTTTGCACGTCGTGTGCGCGCGTGACCGCACCCGCGGTGCGCGGAATGTTCGCGACCCACACGCTGGGGGAGGGGCGCTCAGCGCGCAGGCGGCGTCAGGGCGCGCGGGGAAGGGGCGCCGTCCAGGGTGCGCACCCGGGCGTCCCGCGGCTGGCCCTGGCAAGCGTCCGCGGCCCAGTGGCCTGGAGTTCTCGGACAGTGTCAGTCCCTCGGGCGGTGGGGACGTGCGTGCGCCGTCAGTAACCCCGACGAGCTCCGCGGTGAATAAATAAACATCATCACTCCGTACAAACGCACTCGGTGTCCACAACAGGACAGTTACGCACACCCGGCCGCTGGGGACGGGCAGCGAGGGCCTCACAAGGGCTGCAGGTCGTCGTCGCCACACGCGTACTCGTACAGGTCAACGTCGCCCAGCGGGGTGGGCACCTCGAAGAAGGGCCTCTGGGCCAGCGGGGACCGCAGCGCGCTCAGCTTCTGGTCCACAGGGCTGAGCTCCCCCTCGTACCTGCAAGGAGTGGCCAGTGAGGACCGCGGGCGGGTGCCCTCTCCCCCTCAGGGGCCGCCCTCGCCGGGGCCAGGTTCGGGCCGCGCTGGAGACCGCGGGTTCCGGGTCAGCACCAGGCTCCCAGGGGGCGCGCGCACGGCGCCAGGGAGCTGGGGACGTCCAGCGCGCAGCCGGCCCCAGGGCCTGGGCACAGGAGCTCCCCCAGGGTGGGAACTGCTGGCCTCGGGTCTCCCCCAAAGCCTAAGGCGGCTGTTCCCTGCAGGGCGACTGCCAGGGCCCAAGTGGGCTTGTCAGCTGGTCAGTCCCTGCGAGCTGAAGAGAGGACCCGAGACGGTTTCCAGAAAGGGGGGTGACCCGGGTCGGCACAGGTGACCGGAAGCTGCTGACCCACACTTCCACAGCCAAGCAGCAGCAGCGAGCACAGCCACCTGCCCGTGGGCACTGGGCTGCGTCAGGAGGGGAGGGTGGCAGCAGACACAGGACGTGTCACTGGCCACAGCTGCTCCACAAAGGGAAGGGACAGGGAAGTACTGGAAGTACTCGAGGGGTCAGTGACCTGGGGGACATGGGGACAGACAGCCCGGGAAGCAGAGGGCCCACCGGACAGGACTGGGCCTGCGGGTGACAGGGCCGGTCTCAGGAGCGCTCCTGAGGGTGGAGGACGCAGGCTGGACACCAGCATTGGACCTGCCAGGATGACGGATTCGCTGGCTCACGGATGCCCAGCGATCATCGCAGAGACAGGACCCCAGCGTCCACCCCAGGAATGGAGGGGGTCTCTGCAGCGGGAGCCAGGGGACACCAGGGAGGTGGCCCCCAAGGGTTGTGAAAAGATCCCTGAACTAGAGACCCAGCCACCATGAGCGTGTGGGGTCACTGCGTCCTGCCCATGTCAGGAGTGACCAGGGAGGTACACGCAAAGACACAATGTGGGGACAGACAGACTCCTGGGGGGCAGCTCCCTGCAGTGCTGGTGCCTCATCCAGGTGCCCCAGGGACTGGGACACCACAGATGGCCCTGGACAGCCAGGAGGGCTGGGCCTTGGAGTCTCCCACACACTGAGGGGCTGAGCCAGGCCCAGGGACCCTTGTGCCAGGGGACCTCAGGCGGAGCCTCAGGCTGCAGTGGGCACCGGGGGCAGCCGATGCTGCTGGCAGAGTGGCCTGGGCTTGCCCTGCCCAGAGCGCCGCAGTGCCCCCAACGGGGTGTGCGAGAGCCTCGGGCCTCGGGCCTCAGGAGCGCCAATGCCCAAGCCCAGCTGGGCCCCAGGACGGGCAGGAGGCCAGGCACCCAGACCTGGGGGCGAGCAGACCGTGAACTGGGTCTGGGTGCAAACAGCCGGTGCCCTCTGACCTGTCAACCTGCCCGCGGCAGCCCAGGGAGAGGACCCGCCGGCTACACTGGACTCGGCCTCCCGTCCAGTCCCCTGCCAACACGCACAGCCGGGATTCACCAAGGCCCGCGCGGGTGGGTGTTCCCGCTCCCGGTGCGCACCTGAAGTCAGGAGTGACGTCCAGCTAATGTCGGAGTGACCAGCGCAGCAGGCCTCAGGGCTCCCCAGGTGTGCCCCGGCCTCAGGGCTCCCCAGGTGCACGCGGGCCTCAGGGTCCGGCGCGGTCAGCCCCAGGCGTCCTACCACGCAGGACGGCCGCGCCCTGCCCCTCCCACGCAGCCCGCGGGGGCGCTCACCCGTCGTCCCAGGGCTCGCCCGCGGCCTCCTCGGCCACCAGGAGGTCGTACTCCTC